AAGTAGAGAATTAGAAGAAAGGTAAATCTTTTATAAACAGATAAAGTAGAGAATTAGAAGAAAGATAATTCTTTTGTAGACAGATGAAGTAGAGAATTAGAAGAAAGATAAATCTTTTAGAAACAGATAAAGTAGAGAATTAGAAGAAAGATAATTCTTTTGTAGACAGATGAAGTAGAGAATTAGAAGAAAGATAAATTTTTTAGAAACAGATAAAATAGAGAATTAGAAGAAAGATAAATCTTTTATAAACAGATAAAGTGGTGAATCATCATAGATCGAAAACAGATGAAGAACAGCCAGTACAATATGAATCTTCTTTGCGTAAAGGTGCATAGAGAGGCAGAGAATAATAATTTTGATTCCCTTTCGAAGGGATACCTTCAGCCCAACCACGTTCCCATTCTCAGCCTGCTGAGGCTTTTTACCATCTCTGGAAACTGGTTTAAGTTGGATACTTTGAAAGCTCTCGGATTTTATTTCGTTTTTCGGTGGTTTACGCAGTCCTAACTTCTCCCCGGCCGCGTTCGTTGTCATGGTCTGCGTTTAATATCATCGTTTATTCCAAACAATCTCTCGCAGAGTAATCGTGCATACCAATTTACACACATTGACGTAATATTTAATTATATTACAATTTACACAAGATTTCAAGTGTCAAAATGGATGTCTAAATAAATTCTACTCACCTTGAGCTCTACTTTCTGCAAAGTCTTCTTCTCTTCCTCCAATTGCTGTTCAAACAAACGTCAATTATTCAGTATCAATTTGTTTCCTATTTATTAACCCTATGCACTGTTCAAACAATTGTCGATATATTTTCTTTATCACGTTTAGAATAAACTTTAAATTATTAACATTGATAGTCATTATTAAAACATTAATAAAAATCATTGATATAAATAAACATTGAAATTATTTCGTGAATATTTAGAACAGTGCGAACGGGTAATTAAACTTTAGAGTTGGGTAAGTAAGAGAGGATTACCTTAGACACGGGTTTGAGGCTAATCTTTTGAGGTTCCTCTGGCTGCAAAATAAAACAAAAGAAGGGAAAATATTAAACAAATATTCGAAATTATTCGGAATAATTACACGTGTTGAGGATAGTGTAACAATGAATTACAGCAATTCAATGATATGTTATACTTCTTGTTACGTGACGAATTAAAATGAACTCTGTGAAAAAAATGATTAAATTCAGTGTTGGCATCACTCAGACTCGAATTGTGCTGGAAAAAAAAATATATATATATATATATATAAATCCCACTTTCTCACGATTTAGTTGGCATGATTATAAGATGATGTAACGCATTAGATGATTGAAGAAAAATCGATTGCAAAAATCAGTTAGGTCAAAAAAGAAAACAGGCCAATTTCATGTACCTTTGCAGGTTGGGGTTTACCAAGGGTGGTTTTGGGTTTCGGGGCGAGTTCCTTCTAAAAAAGGGAGGAATTTAACGAGTCACGTTTAGGAAACCCGCGTAGATGTGAAAAAATAGCGAAAAAAATGGAAAAAGTAAAAAATGCAAAATCGTGTCGTATACCTTCGCTTCTTCGGGTTTACCGAGAGTGGTCTTGGGTTTCGGGGCAGGTTCCACTTTCTAAAAAATGTATTTGTTTTTTATATGGTGGTTTCAACTGCAACTCGTATTGAAAAAATTAAATATTGTGTGCAAAAGAGTAATGTATCGAGTGCAAAACGTAAAAATATAGTGTAGTGTACCTTCGGTTCCTCGGGTTTACCGAGAGTGGTTTTTGGTTTCGGGGCGAGTTCCTCTTTCTAAAAAATGTTTTCGTTTTCATGTACAGTGTATCCAATTGTGTTACATTTGATGAATTTTTTTCTCGTATTAATTGTATGATTGTATAATGTTTAAATTATGCAAAAAACAAACGTGTAATGTAGTGTACCTTTGTCTCTTCGGGTTTACCGAGTGTAGTTTTGGGTTTAGTGTCGGGTTCTTGTTTCTAAAAAAATGTTATTGTTTTTATGTATCGTGTTTTCAATTGTAGAATGTTTGTGTAAGATACATTGTGCAAAAAATCAATGTGTAACGTAGTGTACCTTTGCCTCCTCGGGTTTATCGAGGCTAGTTTTGGATTTAGTGTCGGGTTCTTGTTTCTAAAAGAAAATGTGCTTGTTTTATGTATCGTGTTTTCAAGCGTATACTGTTTGTGCGAGATAACAAATGTTTGTGTATCAAAAATGATTGTGTGTTATAATGTACCTTTGTCTCTTCGGGTTTACCGAGGGTGGTCTTTGGTTTCGTGTCGGGTTCTGGCTTCTAAAAAATGTATAGGTTTCACGTGTTACGTCTTTGTGACTTTGTAAAATTTGTATTATAAAAAAAGTGTACGAAACGTTGCTTTGTACCTTAACCTCGTCGGGTTTGTTCAACGTGGTTTTTGACCTCGCGACGGGTTCCTCTTTCTAAAAGAGCGTTTGCGTCAAATATCGAGTGTATACTTTGTGTATGGGATACAAAAATACAGACAAAAATGAAAAAAATGTTGTGCGTGGTCGAATGAAAAAAGGAAATGTATAAAAATGAACAAAATTCTACGGACGATGCCGAAAAAAAGTGTTTAGCGTTATGTACCTTCGCCTCTTCGGGTTTACCGACGGCAGTCTTGGGTTTTGTGGCGGGTTCCTCTTTCTAAAAGATGACAGTCTCGTGTATTGTATTTGTCAATAATTATTCGGACATCTATACAAAAAATAGTAAGCATCGCGACGAAAAAGATTTTGTATTCTGTGTACCTTAGCCTCCGCGGGTTTACCGGGAGTCGGCTGGGGTTTTGTGGGTTCCGTCTTCTAAAAGTGAACATTGTAACGTTAAGATCTGTTTCTAGGGAAGAAGTACCAATGATCAATAATCTATAGATCTCTATGCACTTGTAGAAAATTAAAAGGTTCATTAAAAATGCACGGAAATATACGAAATACCTAAAATTGCTTATTGAAATATTTATCATAAAAATATTTTTCCATCTTAATTCCATTTTTCTAATCGCATCTTTTAAAATGTTCAATTTGCATGGAGATCTACAGTTTAACGATCAATATGTAATGTACATGTCCGTGTACACGTGTTCTCTGTACCTTAGCTTCCTCTACCTTGGGTTTAGGTTTAAGTGCCTCCTAAAAGTAACGAATAATGTAACTATTGTTCTGTTTATGTACCACGTGTACTTTGTAATTGTTTATCTGTTGGAAAACACGTATAAATGAAGTTAAGTATCGCTCGTCTACCTTTGTCTCCTCTTTCCCGGCGATCTTCGTCTTGGCAGTGACTTCTTCCTTCTAGAAAAGAAACATGGAGGGGATAAAACACACTCTCTACTCATTCCCATTCCTATCTTAACACTGACAACACTGCTTATGTACAACACCGACCGAGTTACAAGCAATAGCAATTTCAGCAGATTTTTTTCGAAGGAAAGTGTCTGATCAGAAATGATTGATAATATATTCTAAGTGCTTTTGGTAAATGTACCTTCGTTCCGTTGATAATGGTACCCTTATCGTTCGAGTCTACAGTAGGCTCTTGCTCCTGGATAATATTCGTACCAGTGAACAACAAGCACAACATGTAAAAAATAAAACATAAACAAACGGAAGTAGTGTGAATTGCTCGTGACACGTTACTAAGTATTGTGCTCTCTATTCCCTGTACCTGAGAACCCTCGTTCGATTTTGTCGATGATCTACGCCTGGCGCTTGTTTCTTTCTTCTAAATGTGTAAACAAAAAAGAAAAAAAGAAAATTATAGGGATTCGCTGTGTACAATCTAAAATATCAACTTTGCGAAAGAAGAGAAAAATAGAAAAAAACATTGTACCTTGCCCGCATCGTCAACTTTGCGAGAGGTAGCTTTCGGTTTCCCTTCCGTTTTCTAAAATGATCGACAGATTAACATTTTCGTCGAACTGTACTACGATAATCTCTAATTTGAATCACACGTATATGAAATGTGATAGTGTAAATATAGAATTCCATGTACGTATGTGTACCTTGCTCGAGTCAGCCTTTTTACGAGTGGTTTTTAACTTTGGCTTGACCTGTCCCTAAAAAATGCGTATTTTTCAATTTTTTGTTTTTTGTTTTAATAATAAAATTTCACGTATTTTCGTGTTTATGTGAGTATCGAGTCTACCTCTACCGTATCTGGTGATTCGTCTACCGGCGATTTGGAATTTGGTTCCAAGGAATCGTTTCCATCGCTTGATTTAATCAATTTTGCTTTCGGAACATCCTAAAACGATCAATGTCCAATTAAGAAAAAAATAATAAAAAAATTCATCTGTATCGCATAGTACTCTGAATGTATGTGTACCTCGCGTTCTTTGACTTCTGTTTGCGAGAAATCTGTGGTGGTCTTTCGCGGTACCTAAAATAGTTAACCGTTTGTTTAAACAATTCGTGAGATACGAGATCGTAATCGGGAACGAGTGAGTTGTGTACCTCTTTCCAAATCGGTTTGATTTCACGATCTTGCGGCATATCTGCCCAGATATCCTAAAAATTTGTTTTGTTCAATGATAATTGTCGTTTAAAAAACAAATGTGCTACGCGAAGTTAAGGTATTTCAGAATAACAGATTGAATCTACCTCTATTTCGTCATTTGCCTCTTGCACGACAGGCTTAGGTAGTGAATTAGGCGCGTCCTGTAAATGTCGCGCGTGTGAAAAAACGTTCTACCTCCATTTGTGCCAAAAATGGTTATAAAGATAGTTGAATAATAGAGATAGTGAAAAAACAAATAAAAAAAGCGTACCTTCAATTTTTTAATCGATTTTATTTCGCGATCCTTCGGTTTATCTGCCCAGATATCCTAAAATAAATTCGTCCGATCATATTTTCTGAATGTTCGAACAATTTTTTTAAACGTTCTCTAATTAGATATAACTTGTACCTCTATTTCGTTATCTGTCTTCTGATCGCGGGGTTTGACCGTAGATTTTGGAATTTCCTGCAAACGTGATTCGTTAAATAAGAGAGGTACGCGTATGAAATTTTTAAATGCATGTTCGAAATTGTACCTCGGCTTGTTTGATAGGTTTTATTTCGCGATCCCTTGGTTTATCTTCCCAGATGTTCTAAAAGAATTTCAACGTGTAATTTTTGGTTCCAATTATATAAAAATTTGAAATTTTTTATTCGTGTGGTAGTAGTAATACCTCTATTTCATCATTTACTTTTTTTGTGGATGGTGTGAGTGTTGGTGTAGACATGTGTGGTGTTTTCTGTAATAATTCATTGTCTGTAGAAAAATGTAGTGACTGTTTGAATATTCTAATAACGTTATCTATAAATGATTTGTACCTCGACGTTTTTAATAGGCTTTATTTCGCGATCCTTTGGTTTATCTGCCCAAATATCCTAAAAGTATTTCAACGAGTAATTTTAGGTTCTGATTATAAAAAAAAAATAAAATTTTCGAGTCATGCGATAGTTTAGATTTATAAAAAATGAAATTTTGAAATCAT